AACCAATAAAGAGAAAAAAGACTTTATTTGGACTCTCACTGATTTCTGAGGCCCCGCTGACTGAGCCTCCCTAGGCTGGGGCCATATACACACGTGCTCTGTTTTCCCCAGTCTACGTACTCTTCAAATCTACAAAGGACACACACCTCCTGCTATCTAACAAACTTAGAAGTGTCCTCAAATCCCAGAAAAAGTAGGGTGGAGAGCTCCTGGGGTTCCTTCCTGCCCCCTTACCTTGATGACAAGATCCACATAGCCTTGGTCTTCATCACTGGTGACAGGAGTGTACGGCCTGATGACCAGGCTGCCATCGATTCGGGCTGAGAGGTAGACATGTTTGCCTGGGGACCATGCAGAGAACGACATGAGGGTGGCTTGTGGATGTGCTGTGTTCCAGTTACCTTTCAAAATACCCAGGGAGGTTTGAGAGAACAAGGACGTCTTGCCCCAGTCAGCTGCCAGGCAGGGAGGATTCACCCCTTTGAGCCCCCGTTGGATCCCTCTTCAACACCCCAGTGGATAAACTCTTCTGTTACTACCAGCACCGTAGCAGCAGCAGCAGAGATGCTAATGGGTATGAAATCAGTGGTTGGCAGGGGGAGGCAGAGCAAATCCTGCGGGCAGGAGGGGGACTGCTGAGTGTTAAAGATGTCTGGGGCACAGCAGCCACACCCGAGAATGACCCAGGGACAACCTGGAGGATCCAGCCAGGCGAGGGTGCGGAGGGAGCAACAGACGAAAGCTGTGTTTTGGGAGACTCAGGAAGGAGAATCGCGCTCTTAGGATGCTGGGAAAAGGAGCCCACACGTTCCTTACCCACAGGCAGCCCCAGAATGTGCTGGGCGGTGGGCAGGGCAAATCGGAACCTCTTGGTGTTGTGGCTCACAGTCTGGAGGACGGATGACAGTGTCAGCAGGACATCCCGACCACAGTGGATGCGGTGGCTTCACACCAGGAGGGGGCCTCTGGTCCCGCCTCTACCCGCCCTTCCTCCGCAGCTCACCGTCTTATCCAGCAGCCGCAGCAGGTACTTCTCATCGGGGTCCAGGAGAGTGACCCGTGGGCGGCGGGACCTCCGCACCAAGTAGGAGCCCAGAGCCAGGCCGAGCAGCGTCAGCAGCCCCGCCCCGAGGGAGGCCAGCAGCGCTGGGCTCTGTGGGGAGAGGAGGCACTGTGACCGCCCCGCGAGAGGAGAGCCCGCGGCGCAGGACTGACCGTCCCGCACGACCAGCTGCCCGAGTCGCAGGGCGGGAGCAGGCGCCGGCCGGAGGGGTGGCTGGGGCAGGGTCCTGGGACCCGACATCAGGGCGAGGGCGGCGGGGAGACCCCAGGCCCATAGCTGAGGGGCCAGAACCAGATGGAGTGGAGTCCCTGGGGCAGGGCCTGCAGGTCGGTCTCACCGGCTGGAACCCCATG